AATACTTTTGGTTTACAAGAAATGTTATTGTGTAATAAAGAATTTGATGATGAATTTGAGGAATTTTGCAAAGCTGATAATCCTATATTGTACGAATTTTCTCAGCTTTATAATTTTGTTAAAACACACATATATTTTATTATTATTCATCGACAACAGGTCGAGGGACTTTTTAACAAATTAGACCTGAAAACTCATGCAAACATGTCATTATCTCTTAAACAATCAAAACTTCGATTAGCTTCAAGTAAGATTGAAAAAGAGAAATTGATGGAGGGTCTTGAAAAAATACGGGCTTAAAGAAAAGAGCAAAATAATGCCCCAATTGTCTCATTGCAAGCTATTCAGCCACCACAATTTGGAGTAGAAGTTGCATCAGATTTTTTAATAATTTATTGAATATGTAAAAAAAAGCTACGTTAATTTACAAATATTTAAAATTGTTTCTGCATATTAATAAAAAAAATAAATAAAAAAAAAATATAATGTAAATTTCGAAAAAAATGCCGAATACATAGTATTAAAATGCTAGTTTTAATTATACTTTAAATCAAACTATATTGTAATTACAAAAAAAAATTCAATAGTAAATTTTTATATGATACCATATATAGTTTTGATTTAATTAGTTGACCGAACACCCCAATGTGAAGTTGATGCACAGTTCGACATATTTCATGGGCATGTGATTTGACTACGCCATTGTATCATAATAACCGGATTTTTTCTTTCATACGTGAAAATTTCTTTTGACTATATTAATACAGTATATCATGTCGAATTTCTTACCAAACAATGCTTATAAGGAGCTGGAAGGCGCCTTGCTAAGGCAGAATTACTTTGAAAAATGGCATATATTTAGGGGATGGAAGCATGGTTGTAAGGTTTGTGAAGAATGCAATCGTTACTCACATCTGTATTGCAAAAGGTGTAAGAAGGTAGCGGAAGGAATATATAAGCGATGTGAATGTCCTCGAGTCTTAATTTGATCGTGAAGAATTTTCACGGTTACACCTACCATGTAACATGGCCTGCGTAACCTAATATTTGAGCCTTCAGCATAGGACTCACTGTTCTATGACATCCAGAATTTCGGAAGGTATTATTAACAGACTATCTTGTAAAGTAGCATCATCATGTAGCAGGCTACAACCTGTATCTTATACCTTTTTCTCATACGATCAATAAATCATAAAGCAATAGCACAAATTTACTAGACGATTTATAATTTTTTCGCATGAAGCAAAGTGTGTGCTATTATAAATACGCAGTAAAATTATAGTAAACGTCACATGTATCACGGGAACAAGCAATTGCGCAAAATAATTTATTCTCAAACTTTCTCGTATGTTCTCAAAATTCTTACATAAGTAAAGAGGCCCCTTGATGATCTTTACATATGGATAGCATTAAATTCTTTTAATGTTAAATTAAGGAGATGTGGTTGATCGATTCTCGTGATGCGATCATATTAACGTAATTTTTTCCCAAAGTGTATTCCAAGATTGATCCTGCAAATTGTATAAAAAGGTGATGTCCTGGATAGTGAACACTTTTATCCTCCTTGCGCAAGTAAAGCAAAAATCAAATGAAAAATAAAACTTACTATTATTAACATCATCAAAATCAACAATCAAACGAACTCGCATGTTCTGCAAAGTTATAATAAGGTAGGTTAGTTTTATTGCTCGGCTAGCTTCTAGAAAAACACCATTATGATGTTAATCAATATTTTCGGCTCTATAGATGCTCAAAGTCAAAGCGGACATATTACCATTCCTGATCTTAGAAAATCGGGATCGTCAACACGTGCCTCATCGGCGCAGTTAAATAAATACTACAGAGAAAAAAAATCACATGACTGTAATTTCAGCCGGGGGGCCCCTGCCAAAATCTTACTTGCAGTAATTTGGCGCAGTATATCAAGCGATATTTGGCGCAGAATCGTAAAAAAAATCGAAATATCTTAACACATTAGGCAACTAATTTCTTAAATACGAGGCGGAGTGGATTGTTATAAAAATAAGTCGTAACGGTAAGAGGTATAATATTGCATTGCCTTCTTTTTACCTCAATTGCTAATCCTCGATTTATATATTTTAGTTTCGAAATTACTTAATCTCAGTGATAGGTTTTACATAGTCTGTGTGGATGATAGTGATATAGATAGGCAGTTCGTGTCGAAAATGTGAGAGAGCAAAGAAATAGCGATGCTGAGACTCGCATTAAATGGCCTAGGATCCGCGTACTCCCTCCCTCTTGATAGCATCATACATTCATTTCATTAGCTTCTCCCTTTACTATTAATCTAAAAATCATTAATAAAGTTTTACATGATTTATTTTAGATCGGAGATATCTGGGTTTGAGACTTATAATCAATTAAATCATAGGACGCAAATTATGTCATAATATAGTCTATGATAAAAAGTTTATAAAAGCTTAAATTTAAATCATATATAAATCTTTAGAAAATAGGATTTTATTGTTATATTCATTCTCTTTCTTCAAAATATACAATTGTAAATTACAGCTTCACTTAGTAAATATGTCATTATATAAAGCAATTGCAAGTCTTGAATTGTTACAAGAGGAAAGAAAAGCCTTACGCGTCTTATTCACTAATAATCCATCTAAAAAAACTGAAGCGGAGGAGATCATTCCTACTTGTACCAATAAAGAGCAAGTTGATTATTTGAGAGAATTATTGACTTCTGGTATGTTCCCTTTAACATAAAATTTTGCGTCGTAATAATTGATCATGACACGCAACTCGTTTTTGCTAACCGGCTTTGCCTTTTTTTTTGGTCTCCTAACCCAATTTAGATGAACATCCAGGTAAGCCTTTGCGTCGTAATGATTGGTCAACTCGAACGTGACGCGCTAACCTTGATAGGCGCCAATCTTCTTTTTTTCTTTATATCCTTAAACAAAAATTTTTCTTGTAGTCTCTTTAAAACGGTCCCAAGAAGAAATTAACGAGGTTAAGAAGAAGGTTCGACTTCTCGAGAATGAGCTCTACAAAACTAAGTTTACAGTCACAGTTTCGCATGAAGTTGGAAAGAATGTCTTAAATACTGCAAGCCCTGCCCTTAACGAAATCTTCTCTCTTTTGAAAAGCGAAACACCAATATCACTTGATAGTTTAGATACAACGAGTTTACCGCAGAATTGTAAGAACGAAGATGAAGTGCAAAAAAAATTCATAAAGTTTTTCAACTCTTTAGAGGGACGAATTAAATGCAATATCATTGATACGTCAACTTCAAACTGGCTAAAGGACCCTATTGGAAAGATTGATATTTCTATCGTTGATGGATCACAAGTTTTGTGGGCTCATCTTGTATCTGGAATCGAGATCAAACATTCACTAAGTAATACTACCTTATATCACGAGGCAATCGGACAACTCGTAGACCGTTTTCAAACCGTTTTCCGAATGCAACGTGGACGACGCTTTATTATCGGCGCTGTTTGTTGTGACAACCTTGTAGAGTTCATATACGCTAATTCAGAACTTAAACTTAAACGTTCGGGCTTATTGGAACTCAGTTTTACCAAACAGACAACAGGAATGCAAATGCTACTAAACATGTTGAGTTCGAATCAACATCAGCTCGGCTACTCTCCGCCCAAAGATCATGAAGCGTTGGTCGGTACTTCAGGCTTTACCTATGAAAGCGTTCTTCGACAAGCAGATAACGGACGAGGATCACTTGTTTTCTCCGGTTTTATAAATTCAAAAAAAGCCGTTCTTAAGGCCTCTATGGATCTAAATAATGAGCTGAAGATGCTTGAGATTCTTAAAGACTGCGAGTACATTCCCCAAGTCATTAACAAAGGATTACTTTCAGATGGCAGAATGTATGTTCTGATTTTCATGTGAAATCATCAAAAGTATTTTAATTGATCATTTTCATGTAGGTTCATTGTGACGACACCGGCTGGTGTACATCTCGAAGCCAAAAAGCACGGTGTGAAAGGGACTTTAAAGGCTTTGCAGGATGTTGTGAAAGCTTTAAAGTTTTCTCATGAACATCACATTTATCATCGTGATGTTTCATATTTAAATATCGTATACAAAAATCAAAGAGGCTATCTTATCGATTGGGGTGTAGCATCGAATACTTCTGACTTAGTGAATGCTCCATTGACCGGAACTTATCTATTTTCTTCTCTTCCGGTATGTTTATCCACTTATTATTTGTGCAATGATATATGTAATTTCATACCATTTCAAATTTAGGTTTTGATGCGTTTTGAATCTGGAGTTTCTCACACATATTCGGTTAATGATGAAATCGAATCCTTATTCTATGTATTCATGTACATAGCTTGTGATGGAGTTGTGCGCTGGCGAAAGCATTCGGATTTGTCAACAAGTGTCGCAATAAAATATAATGTGATGATCTGCCCGTTTGAATTTGAAAGGCACTTGGTCAAGTATGCTTATGGTGAATTCCACGAATATTTATTAAAATTTCACGACATTATTTTTCCATATGGTAGTGATCTTGAAAAAAGAGACATATCGATTGATGGAATTATTGAAATTTTCGGAGATTGGATAAATGAACTTTAATAGATATTATTTGTAATATTATTATTAATGTCTTTGTAGTGAAAATATATGTAATAATTAATACTGTATATGTAAATAAAAACACATGCAACTTCAGCTATATTAAAATATTAAATCATTAGCATAAACTACTAATAAATAAATACATGAATTTTATTACATATTATTCAGTACGGGTGTTACGTTCGGAAATAACATCCCTAGAACATTTGTGTTACATTGACTGTTTTTCACTTTTAAAAAAAATCCATCCATTGATTCGTCTAATTAAAAATCATAAAGTAGGTTTGAGATAATTTGGATGAAAATAAATTTTGATGGCCAAGTTCATTTGAACATTATTTTAAATTTGATTATCTCTCAAATATATTTTGAATTTAACAGCAACTATACTGCTATGAGTTATAATACAGCGACAAGGAATTCTAATTTATCCCCCAAAAATTTCATTAATTGTATATTGTTGAAAAATGTTAACACATCAGAGGAATTGAGCCAATACAGGTCAAAAGCTACTCTTCACTTGGACGTTATTTTGTTAAGTGATTCAAAACCTGGTAAAAGTGACATTCATTCGGTTAATAATTGTCAAATTAATTCGAGGAATTCCAGTTGTCTTCAAATTACAGTATAATTGCATTATACTTTCCTAAAATTGCTCGGCTTTTGGCCTTTTAACAATATACTATTTTATTATTTATGAATTGGATACAAAAGAAACTTGTAATAAAATTTCAATAGAGAACTTATATATATTAAAGGAAACTTTATCAGATTATACTTTTGACAATATAGATTTATCATCTTATTTGAAGACATAATTACTAATGAAAACAATCTACCTTTACATCATTGGCTTGTATCTACTTATCGAATTAATATTATTATCGTAGAATCAATACCGCATAGTTAATCTTTTCCATAATTGGTATTCGATAATGAAGATCATGAGGATCATTGAATTCCACAATTTCACATTTTTTCATATTTTATATAAAATTGTTGTTGTTTGTGAGTATCATTGTTGTTGTTGGAGTGAGTGTTGTCATTGGAATGAGTGTTGTTGTTGTTCTAACAACAACAATACTTATAATACTCATTCCAATAACAACAATACTCACAACATTCACTCCAACAACTACACCCACCCTAAATCAAATTTGTAATAAGTGATTTGGAAGTTTTACGTTATATATTATGTCTTGTCATATCCTATTGTATCATCCGTAACTGAATGAGAAAATTCTGACTTTTGGTCAATTTTATGAACTAGTTGAAATAATATTTGATAATAATATTAATAATAATGATCTTGATTTTATTAATTTTGAAAAATGAGATCAACAAATTTAAGTTGAAGGATTATCTTATTTATTACGAAAAAGAGAAAGAGAATTTTGTGACGTTAATTCAATACAAAAGAAAGTTTAAGCAGTGACTTAAAGAAATTTTTAGATCTTTTACTTGTCCAAAATAAAATTATTGGAAAAAACATCAAGAGACTTTTCTTAAAGACAATTAAGCGCATACAAAATTATCTTGAAGGATAAACTTCAATATGATGAATTGGAGACTCTTTTTAAATGAACAAAAGAAATCTTGAGATTAAAAAATCAATTATGCTTTTTACAAAGCTAAAAATTATCAGTAACTTTATATTATTACATTATGGTGGTTTTAAATTGTATAAACTTGCTGTTTATAGTACTGATATTAATAGTGATTGAAAGCATTTAGCGATTAGCATCAAAAATTAATTTTTCAAGTGAAATTGTAAAATATATTTTAATAAACGCTAAATAATAAAGTATTTCTAGTTAAAATCACATGTAATAATACTAATAGCGTTAATCACCTGGAGTAATATAAAAAGAAAATATTTAATCATAGTTGATGAAACATGATATTGTACGCAGAAATGAGGTGAGGTTATGATGATTTGAAAGATTTTATAAGATGTTTGAATGTTTAGGGCAAATTATTGTATTTTAGAAATTGATATTTTGGTTTGATAGTGATCGTTTAAATCCATTACGAAATTGAGATTCAAGTTTATTTATTTATTATTATTAGAGCTCCTAATGAGTTGAGTCGAATCAAGTCAAAAAAATTTAAAACTCTAACTTGACTCGACTCGAGTTATACTTAAATTTGACTCGACTCAACTCGAGTCAAATAAAACCCCAAAATATATTTGCTGATTATATAAATAATAAAAT